CAGCTTCTCAGATTATTTGCTCAGTATATAGATTGAATAAGTATGGTGAAAGGATACAACCCTGACATACTCCCTTCTTGATTTTAAACCATGCAGTGTCCCCTTGTTCCATTTGAATGACAGCTTCCTGGTCTATGTACAGGTTCATCATGAGTACAATTAAGTGTTCTGGAATTCCCACTCTTCTCAATATTATCCAAAATTTGTCATGATCCACACAATCAAATGCTTTTTCATAGTTAATAAAACACAAGCAAACATCTTTCTGGTATTCTTTGCTTTGAGCCAAGATGCATCTGACATCAGCAATGATATCCCTTGTTCCACATCCTCTTCTGAATCCAGCTTGCATCACTAAGTTCTCTGTCAATATACTGCTGCAATCGTTTTTGAATTATCTTTAGTAAAATTTTACTTGTGTGTGAAATTAATGATATTGTTCTTTAATTTCCACATTCTGTGGGATCCCCTTTCTTTGGAATGGGTACAAATATGGATCTCTTCCAGGCAGTTGGCCAGATAGCTTTCCTCCAAATCTCTTGGCATAACCAAGTGAGTGCCTCCAGTGGGGCATCCATTTGTTGAAACAACTCAATGGGTATTCCGTCAATTCCTAGAGCCTTGTTCTTCACCAAGTCCTTCATTGCACCTTTGACTTCCTCCTTCAATACTGTTGGTTCTTGAATATATACCACCTCCTGAAATGGAGAAAGATTGATCTGTTCTTTTTGATACAGTGGCTCTGTGTATTCTTTCCATCTTCTTTTGATGCTTCCTGCATCATTCAATATTTTGCCCATACAATCTTTCAATATTGCAACTTGAAGCTTAAATTTTTCCTCAGTTTTTTCAGCTTGAGAAATGCTGAGTGTGTTCTTCCATTTTGGTTTTCTTACTTCAGGTCTTTGCACATTTCATTATAATAATTAACTTTGTCTGCTTGAGCTGCTCTTTGAAATCTTCTGTTCAGCTCTTTTATCTTGTCATTTCTTTCATTTGCTTTAACTACTCTCTGCTCAAGGGAAAATTTCAGAGTCTCTTCTGACATCCATCTTGGTCTTTTCTTCCTTTCTCATCTTTTCAATGACCTCTTGCTTTCTTAATGGATGATGTTCTTGATGTCATCTCACAATTCTTCTGGTTTTTGGTCATTGGTGTTCAGTGCATCAAATCTATTCTTTAGATGGTCTCTAAATTCAGGAGGGATATAATCAAGGTCATATTTTGGCTCTCTTGGACTTGTTTTAATTGTCTTCAACTTCAAGCTGAACTTACATATGAGCCGTTGATGGTCTGTTCCACAATCAGCTCCTGGTCTTGTTTTGGCTGAAAATACTAAGCTTTTCCATCGCCTCTTGCCACAAATATAGTAATCTGATTTCTTTGTACTCCATCTGGTGAAGTCCATGTGTATAGCTACCATTTGTGTTGTTGAAAAAGGTCTTGCAATGGAGATCATATGATCTCCAGCATTATTTCTGTCACTAAGGCCAAATTTTCCAACTACCGGTGATTCTTTTTTGTTTCCAACTTTGCATTTCAGTCACCAGTAATAATTAACACATCTTGATTGCATGTTTGATCAATTTCAGAGCACAGAAGTTGATAAAAAATCTTCAATTTCCTCATCTTTGGCTTTGGTGGTTGGTGCATAAATTTCAATAGTATGTATATAGTAGCATTAACTGGTCTTCCTTGTAGGCATATGGATATTTTCCTATCACTATCAGCATTGTACTTCAGGATAGATCTTGAAACAGTCTTTGTGACGATGAATGCCACTCCATTATTCTTCAAATTGTCATTTCTGGTATAGTAGATCATATGGTTTTCTGGTTCAATATGGCCAAAACCAGTCCATTTCAGCTCACTAATGCCTAGGATATCAATCTTTTTGCATTTCATTTCATTTTTGACAACTTCCAATTTTCCTAGATTCATATTTCATACATTCCATGTTCTGATTGTTAATGGATGTTCACAGCTGTTTCTCCTCAATTTGAGTCATACCACATCAGCAAATGGAAGTTTTGAAAGCTTTACTTTATCTATATCCGTAAGGTTAGTTCTACTCTGATGATGCAGCTCTTTGCCAGCCATATTTTGAGGGCCTTCCAACCTAAGGGGCTCATCCTCCTGCACTGTATGAGACAATGTTTCCAGGCTATTCATAAGGTTACACAGTAATGTATCAGACATTGTTTCTCTGCTATTCATTAAGTTTTCCCTGGCCAATTCTTTGAGAAGTAGATGGCCTCTTCCTTCTTCCTGGTCTGTCTCAGTCTGTAAGCTGCATTGAAACCTGTGCACCATGTGCAACCCCACTGGAGTTTGAAACACAGGTGGTACAGCCTCAAGCCTCACAGCAACATGCAAGCCACCACAATATGACAAACAGACAGACAAGTTTGTCTCCCTTAGCTGTTCAAAACCTCTCCGCTTCCTGCCTCTTGGGGATGTGTCCCTCCCCTTACCTAAGATCCCTGCCACTCTGTCTGTAGGTCCCCTGGCTTCTCTTTCTCTGCTTCCTGCCTCTTGGGGTGGGGCCTGTGTCCCTCCCCTTACCTGAGATCCCTGCCACTCTGTAAATGAGTAAAATGAAGTTATTAACCCCATTACAAGCTCACAAGTCTGTTTCAGGAATATA